AAGAAAGAAAGAAAGAAAGAAAGAAAGAAAGAAAGAAAGAAAGAAAGCAAAAAAGCAAAGAATGAGAACCACCTTTCATCCGAATCACACCTTCTGGTGGCAGCCTGCATATATAAAGGATATTGAAGGAGGAAGTTCTCTCTATTTACTTTCTTGCCCTGGCTCTGATGACCAAGTTCACTCCTTTACTAGCATTAGATCCAGCTTACTTCTTTGGAATTCTGGTGTATATTGAAAACCACTTGAGACATCCAGCCTCATGAGCTGATTCTTCAAATTTCCATTGGTAGGCAGCCATTGTTGTATCACCTGGACCACAGCCTGTGAGACATTGTAATAAGTCCACTTTGTACATACATGGAGTGATTCATTCTACAAGTCTTGTTTATATAGAACAATTCAGGAATTTTTTCCACCACCCAATGAGGAAAATGGACTGGCTAACAATAGTGTTCATAAAATCATTCTTCCTAGCTTCATTATTCTCTAAGTATTCAATTTTCCATGAAGAATACTCTTTTTATTGTTATTCACTTGTCAAGAGTTTGCTCTGGATTTCGTGAATAAAACTCCTAAAACAATGAAGCCATCATCCAGTCTTCTGATGGGAGGAAGACCTATTATCCTGTTTATGATCTGGTTCCTGCTTTTCTTTCCTGTTTGTCTTAAGTCCACGTGACAGCCAAGTAAAAAAGCATTTTCAGTTCCCCTGACCTTAGTGTGAAGCCACACTATAAACATCTCCTTTTGTGTCCTTAAATCTCTCTTTAAATGCTAATATTCTTGGAACCATTCCACCAGTGCGACAGGGAATTACTCCACCCCACAAAATACAGTGAGCTGTGCAACCTAGCTAGCTACATTGTGTCTAGGAGGAAGAAGAGGAAGTGCCTATGGAGTGCAGGAAGGTAGCAGAGCCTTCTATTGGAGCCAGGAACAAGCGCTATGGAAATGAATATCTTTGCAGATCCAGGAAGGTTTTTTGTCTGTGGTAGAAGGGTGGGACAGGAACTGTTGTGCTGTCTCTTAAAACACAACTCTATTGGAGGTGCTCTTGCCACTCATACCTCACTAGCCAATCAGGCCCTCCAAGTGATCTGTAGTCAGAATTGATGCCAGGTCCTTCCGGTCACCTTACTTTACACCTGACTTTGAAGAGGAGCTGACTCCAATGGGTTTGTGTGCTGTGATTCCAGTAGTGCTACAGGGGCCTGAGAAGAGAGCATCAGTGAGCTGGGAAACCAAGACACGGTGAGCGAGGGGCTGTTGTCCCCAGGGGGGGAAGAGCGTATGGTGAGGCGCGGGAGTGTCCTCCATGGATCTGGGTGGAAACCTGCAGCCAGATTTCCTGTTCTATTAGGTCTCCCTGGACTCAGGGTGAGTCCTTTGAATAACTTTGCTCTGTGGGCTGAATCTTCTCAGAGCATTGGGTGCAGGGAGCTGCGTGTAGAATCTTCTTTGTAGTCAACTTCAACATGTCTTCCATGCATACATGGAAAGCAACTTGCCAAACTCAGAGAGGCTTAGTTTCTTCAGTATCTTTTAGATGATCAACACTTTGCATTTAACCTTTCCGTGTAACATCCATTTATATTTAATTTTGTGGAAGATGTAAAAGGAATTCAACGTGTTGGATAGCACTCCACTACTCTGCCATAATGTTGAAGAGTAGAATTGGTCATATAAAGGATTTACCAATGCTTAAGAGATAGTAAGTCTCACAAAGTAGAACTTAGCTGACAGAGCACTGCCTCTAAAACAAGCAAAGATAAGTATATGCTAACCAGTCCTGTCAGAATTTAGGATACTAGGATACACATTTTATTTCACTAGGATTGTCCAGACATTTGTCTCCAAAACTAATATAAAGGAGTCACCCTGATTTACAACCAGCCACTAGACCCAAACTTATATCAAAGAACAGGCATCTAAGCAGGTGTGTGCCATAAAGTTTCAATTTTCTTCTGAAAAATGGACAATCTGACACCAGGTGATAACTCTTTGAAAAGTGAAACACCATTCTCTTAAGGACCATGCCCTCAGGCATGGAAGAAGAACATTCTTAGAATAGCTAGTAACAGCCTGGGGCTAGGCATTGGGGGCTCTCTCCAAGGGCCTGATGTCTTCACAGTAAAGCACCACCTTTTCTAAAAGCAGTTTGGGAGACCTGGTAATAGTCTGAAACCAGTGCCTTTTGAAGGAGTTGCTTCAGATCCTGAGAACCCAACTATTTCTACCACAAGAAGCTATGGTTTGTTGTCAGTCCCCAGTCCCATTAATCAGTAATGATCTTCTTTT